GTTTCTTCCGTGTTGCTTCAGACATTCTCTGATGGAAAAATTGCTGATCCATTATCTAGATTCAACCAAACTACCTCTTAGTGATAGGCATATATATGCCTAGTGAGTGCAGGATAGCCCTGGAATCCTTCAGGGTACAGATAGACTCTTCCATCTTCTAGTTGGAGAACTGTGACTTCATTAATGGGGAGCACTATTGTGTTGATTTCACAAGCATGCAGAATGGCTAAAAGTTTGTGCTGGGAGTCTTGGATATCTGCAAGAAAAATCTGAAACACTTCAGCAGGTCTGCAGAGAAAGTCCTAGAACTGCCTGATGTCATAAAAGGGTAGGAGGACTAGAACTCGTCACTTTGTTCAGGGATGACAATGGCAGCCTTTCTGGATCCAGTGAAACCATCAGGTGTGAAGCATAAATGTTTCTCCTCCTCTGTATTTAGGACAAGATTTGAGCACCCTGGGAAGCAAGGAGTTTCTCCCTAGCAAATCACATCAGCTCTGCAGGGGGAGTATGACAGAAGAAAGAGCCAATAGGTTATCACAGGGACCCATAGCATGAGGTACCCAAGGCCCAATAGTAGATTAAGCAGATGTTGGTCCCAAACTGGTGAAGTCTTTTGGGTGGTGGAGGACACACAGGGTAAGAGAAGAAGAGTTCATCAAATGGCAAAATCTCCTCATGAGAAGGATGATTCAGGTGTCAGTGGCGGTACTGTAAGTTGGTGCCATTGCAGGGGAGACATATTCTCCATAGGGGTCACATGACCAGCTTCTTTCAGAAGTTGATTCTTCCAGAGGTGATATTATCATCCTGGAAACAGGGGGGGCTAATGAAGGAGAGGATTCCAGATCTAACAGAACAAAAATGTCTGGCGGAGAGGGGGAGACACAGATTAAGATCCCCCGAGCGTGATAGGGCTTCTGCTTATCCAGGCCACTGAAGCCTGCGAAGAGGGTGATATACAAAAGTGGCAGGAGTCTGACTTCATCTATCCCAATGGATCCTGGGGCTTGGGGAAAAGTCAGGGAGGATGGTATTGATAGAATACAATATAATACTGGCAGTCTCCAATGCTTATGAGCTTTCTAGTCGTATCTCTGGGATTTAGGACATGCTAACTTCGCATGGGCCAAGCTGGTGAGCTTGTTTGCAGGTGAGTATGATTTCTCGGAGGTGGACCTACAGGAATGATTTTGTCTCATTCTTCTGGGGGTATGTCTACACTAGCCCCCCTAGTTTGAACTAGGGAGGCTAATGTAGGCATTTGAGGTTGCAAATGAAGGCCAGGATTTAAATATCCCGGGCTTTATTTGCATCTTCCCGTCCAGTCGCCATTTTTAAATTCCACTATTCCGAAGTAACTCCCGTGGCTACATGCGGCAGTGAAACGGTAATTCGAACTAAGTCCCTAGTTTGAATTACAGTTTCACTGCTGCATGTAGCTGCGGGCAGTTACTTTGGACTAGTGGAATTTAAAAATGGCGACTGGACGGGAAGATGCAAATAAAGCCCGGGATATTTAAATCCCGGGCTTCATTTGCAACTTCGAATGCCTACATTAGCCTCCCTAGTTTGAACAAGGGGGGTAGTGTAGACATACCCTAGGAGAGGAATCCTTAGCTTCCTGACAATTCCCTGGTGTAGGGTCTGATGGGATAGACTTTCCTGCAGTAACGTTGGACTACGCAGCAGCAGGCACACTTTTGGAAGCATCAAGCCTAATGTGGGGGTGTTTCTTTGCCTGGATTCTCCAGGAGATATGTGCAGAGATGAAATACCTGCTCATCTCAGATACAGCTGGAGAACATTTGGCAGATAATGCACCTCACCACAGAGAGAGCTTTCCCAAGCTGCACAGGCAGCACTGGTGGTCACTGCTTAACGGGAAGTATCTTGGGCAGGAAGCACAGAGTGTAAAGCCCAGACTCCTGGGAATGGCTTAATACCTGGACAAGGAACAAGGCAGCAGGGAGGTCCCCATGTGACACTAATCTAATACTAAACATTGAAAACCTTTAAAACTGTTAAGAAGCATCTAGTATATAAATAGCTTTATTTTGTAAATCAAAGCCAAAGCTGAGAACGTTAAAGGTTCTGATCCAAACCACGCAGTGGCAGAAGGAACTGGAGAACTGTTTGGTCTGTTTTGACCTTTATGTCCTCCATCACAGGCACGAGGTAAGCCAGGGCAAATGCACAGACCAGCAAGCACTGCTTTCAAATTCTGTAGTTCCAGGATCATGGTGTGTACATTTAACCCAAAATGCAATAAAATAGGAACCATCACTCAAAGAATAATGAAGAATTATCACTGAAAACTTGAATGATTCAATCACTATAAATAACAATTTTCCAAGGCAAACTCTGTTATAACTTATTCCTCAACTCAGCATATCGGACTGAACCAGGCATTACAGAACCCTTCAGCTAGTTTTGGACAAATATTAGTGGAATGTGTGTTCAGTTAATATTTCAAAAATCTATTTAACACCAATTAACACTGATATATTTAATTCAGCCTTACTTAGACAGAAGCATCCAACTTGTATAATTCTGGTACACTCTGCACAGCTTATTCCATATCTTAGAAAGAGATATGGATTTTGCTGTGTGCCTCAGTCCATGGTTTCAAACACTCTCTAGGGATGTTACACTTGCAAAATTAAAAAGTAATGAAACATAGCTAGGAAAATTAATTCTTAAAGCCATCATACATATTAGACTCTCCCTTGGAGCCTTCTCTTCTCAGGAACTGATATGCATGGTGGAGTTTATGAGAAAGGGCTTTGTAAAAATCCTTTTAAATTCCCTAGGTCCTTCTGCCCCATCTCTTTTGGAAGATGACAGATTCAGGTAGGATGGTCTTAATAAGCTCATTTAAAATTCATTCTACAGCTGCAGCTTCCTGCCAGAGTAAGATTGTTCTTTAAATTGTTTTAAGTATTGAACTTAAAATGTGATCAAAATACATTTTCTACCTTACAAATTAATACAAATCCTCCTAATCCTATTTATGAATCAGTAAAATTTGCCACAACTAGTTGAATAGCTCTAAATGGAACTTATTGATATATGAACTGTTAATGACATTTCAGTCACGCCAGGGAAGTAGGAAATGCTTATTGAGTGTTCTCTATTATGGTGTAAAATCTGAGTCGATCTGCTGACACACTGACCTGTAAAGGTGTTCAATTAAAGCTGCCAAAGTTGCCCTATTGACTGGTGGAAGGCTCTGAATAAAAGTTCCATACTTTCTCACTCGTTCCTTTTCATTCTGTGTATCTAATGAGAGAGGAAAGAAAAAGTCACTGGGCATTTATCACAATGCATGTCCCCAAACAAGAACAATATAGATCCACTAAAATGGCAACATCTAGTGATTTAAATTTACAATTCAACCAATCAGTCTGTTTTCGGTATCAGTGCAGTCTGTTATTGTACAGCGTTTGAAGGAAAACAGTATCAATTATAATGAGGCTATGTACTGTTAGATCTGTATTCAAGAACCATTTTAGCAGAATTCTCCAGAAAGCAACATCATTTTTTATCAAAGAATGTTTTATAATGTAGAGGGTGCATGTGTCTATATCTAGCAAATTACTTTGGAAAGGAATATACTTTTTTATACCTTATTTATTTGCATTTAGAGTAGCATGCAGAAGCCCCAACAGGGATTAAAACACTTAGTGCTTCAAAAAGCTTACAATGTATATAGACAAGACCAAAGGTGGGAAATAAGTGGCCCACAGGCAGTCATGGTTCCTCAGCATTAGCCAGTCACTATATTTACCTTCATGTCTATAGGTACAGCTGCTCGCAGCTCCCATTGGCATCAGTTCACCATTCCCAGCCATTGGAAGTGGTGCAGACTGGGTTGTCCCTAGGGGAGTGCAGGGCCTAGTTTAGCCCCTTCCCATGCCCAAGGTCCCACCCATGCCTCATCACTTCCTGCCCCTGCTCCATCCCATGTTCACTCCACCTCTTACCTCAAATCCCTACCTTTTCCTACCCCAGTTCTACCTCCAGCCCAACCATTCCCTAAAGACTCCCAACCCTTCTTCTCCTGAAAAAAGCCAGATGCTGGTTAGGGCAGAGTGGGAGCATGAGATACTGCCACCAGCTCTGCTTCCCCTGAAGGAAGGGTAGGGGGTACAGTGGACTGGAGTATGGCAGGAGGGAATCCCAACTTCACAGCAAAACACAAAGTTGAACAGAGTCTTTAACATAATTAGTAAGCATATGGTGTAAGTGACCAATCAAGGGGTCGAGTGGCCTATTAACATCTCTGCAATCATAGGACAGAAAGAGAGGGTTAGTGGTTTACAGATTGTTGATTTATGGCTTATTACAAAAATCAGTAATCTACTCCCCCTTTTTGAGTGGTCCCCTACAATATGAACTATTAACTCATCCAGTTGCCTCTAGGGGTACATCTAGATAGCACCCTTCTGTCAGAATAAGCAACGCAATTTGCACTATGCAAATTGCGGCGCTCAGGCTGAGTCTAAAAGAGCTTATTTTGAAATTTAGCACTGTCTACATAGTGCAAAATTTCAAAATAAAGCACTATTCCAACAAGTCCCTTAACCCTCGTGGAATGAGGGTTACACGGATGCCGGAATAGTGTACTTATTACTTAGTGTAATAGTGTACTTTTAAAGACACAGTGTTGCTATTTCAGGATACTTCTAGAATCCAGAAATAGCCACACAGTCTAGACATATCCTAAGTTACTGATCCTCTCTTTCCCATGAATCTGACACACTCCTAAATAGCCGACACTCATCTAACTTCTTTTGTAAAGTTAGAGTCCAATTAATGCTTCTATTTACTTTTGTAATTCAACATTTTATTCTTAAAATGAAACTGGACATTTTTATAAATAATAAGATTATGTCATTTAAGTGAGCCTCTTTGGTATCAATCTTATGTGTTTCATTGCCATAGAACCTCAGCAACTCACAATCTTTAATGTATTTATACTCGCAACATCCCTGGAAGGTTGCAAAGTTCTATTATCCCCATTTTACAGATGGGACACTAAGGCACAGAAATACTAAACTACTTGCCCAAGGTCACATAAAAAACCTGTGGCAGATAAAGGAATTGATGCATTCCCCTTCCAAGTACATCCCAGACCAGCAAATGGGACTTGGACCATTCTCTCTCAAAGGAACCTGCAATTCCATCCCAGGACTCAGTGGAAAAACTAGTTTAAAGCACATCATTTATTTTCACGTCAGTCAATATTTATGTCCAAAGTTACTAAGATCTGTTGTTGATCTTAGCAAAAGTCAAGGTCATAAAAGCAAAATCTTTATCTCCTGTAATTCTACCAAGAAGTATAATACTAGCATCGTTTACAGAGTAGACAGAAATATGTTTCCGAATTTCCTAATCAGCAAGGACTCCAAAAGCCTTTCAATCTACCACCATAAAAAATTTCAAACCAGTTAAAATGTGATGATAGACTTTATCCTGATCTCAAATAAGTCAAGATACATACCCTTGACTTTTAAAATAAGATGAAGTTGGGCTTAAGTGGAAGTCCCTCAGTTTTCTTTCATGTTTACATTTATTTTATTTGCCAAAGAGAGGCATATATAAGTAAGGAATTGCTGAACAGCACAAGTACAGATTTAGTGACACGCATACATATAGATGTGTATGTGTATACATAAAGGGAATTAATTAAGCCAGGATATCTTTAATGACAGCAGATATCAAGACTTTGATTTATGTCTCATCGAGAATATAGCATCTCTAATATTTTGCCCCTTAGCCATCAGGACTCTTCAATACATACTCAGAAGAGGCGGCACTACCCACTAATCACACCGCCTTTATTGGAATACCAATGCCACTTCCTCCAGCACCAGCAAACCTTACATCCAGCTACTGACCAACTTGGGAGAGCTAACTACAATACAACACAAGTTTATATATATTTGCAAGCAGTAGATGAGAGGACCAGGCAAAGAGCATTTTTACTAGTCTGAATATATAAATGAAGGTGTAGCCAGACACAAAACCCCATCTTGTTTTTCCACGAGCCCCATCTTGTTTAGAGCAAGAGAAAGGCAGTCAGCCTTTGATGCCCTGGGAACACAGGTTTGCTGCCTGTCCCTGACTCTACCATAAACAGAAACCAGACAGTAAATGGGCTAGCTGACGACCCGGGGCCTCCCGTCGCCCTGATGGCTAGTACCAGTAATTGACACGCCTGCACTGTCCCAGGAGAGGAATCTTCGCCCATCACATACCAGAGGTGCCCATTGTCTGCATTTTCCCAGGTGTAAATTATGCTTTGCACCCTTCGTGGGAAACTTGGTGTTCAAAGCCATTTTTCCTAATTGGCCACTTGAGACCAGGAAGAAGCCTACATGACCCCATCACATACCAGAGGTGCCCATTGTCTGCATTTTCCCAGGTGTAAATTATGCTTTGCACTCTTCGTGGGAAACTTGGCATTCAAAGCCATTTTTCCTAATTGGCCACTTGAAACCAGGAAGAAGCCTTCATGACCCAAGGGGTATAAAAAGAGGTTCAGCCGCCCACCCCATTTGAGCTCCAATCATCTATACCTGCTGGCAGGTATTGATTGTCTCCCGAGGTCTGTGGGACGCCCAACCTCGCCCTACTTCTTCCCGAGGGATTGAGAGAAAGATGCTGGCCACGCCAAGTCTGGAACGCAGGGGTGAGAATATATACCTGCTATGTGTCTATTTTGCATGCATTTAATAAGAGCTCAGAGAACCAAAAGGGTTTCATGGTACCTGTAAGTGACTTATTAGTGTAATTTCTGTCCTGTCCTTTGTAGTGTCTGTGTTATCTGTAACACAGTAGTAGCATTTAACAACTAAGTTTACCCTGTAACAATAAATAGTAACTGTTTAAGCTTTAACCTGACTCCTTCAGTTGCTGTAACAGAACCAAGCACAATTTAAAAAAA